TAGAACCAACCACACCCTATGACATTAACCAGCTCTGATCGCTCATCAAGAACGCCCTTCATTCTGCTGGCTTAGTCAGTTGTGGTCTGACACGTCGCACCTCGACACCCTAGATTTCTGGAGTCTCGACGCCTTCTCCATGCACACTGAACAATCCCGAGCGGCAGAAAGGATAATGAAATACGACTCGTTACGCGTCGTAACCTCAACACAGGTCAACACAGAGACCGCCAAATCTGGTGAAACGTGCTGCCGCCATGGGCGATTTCCGTAAGCTGCTCCATCTCATGCGGGTCATCGGTAGAAAAGCCTTGGGTGGGAGCGAAACGATTCGCGAAGTTGACGGTTCGCCAAATCATNTGTAGCACAGTTTAGCTGGGCACCAGCGTCAGCTTCTCTGACAGCTATTCCGGCACACTGAGGAGGTCCCCTCCTCGTGGGTGGGGGGGGACAATTGTCGTCCCCAACTTTAAAAAGGGTGCTTCTGTCCAGTTCTATTTGTTGGTTATCACAAATAGTTTCATTGCTATTAAATGCTTTCAACTAGTGGGGAATTTACGATCTCCCAAGGAGTGAAACCCATACCGAAGAGCATCAACAGTGGTCAGTGCCTGCTAACGAACGGAAGGGATTAATCCAAACTTGATGCCCTAAACAACTGAAAGCCCCTACCGCAAAAATTTGCTTTGTATAGATAATAATCGTCCAATGCATTGATGGAATGGGGTTCATCCTTTAGTTTGGTTAAATAGAATGAAAAAAATGTACGATAGAAATTGGAGATCTGGTGTGCGGTTTGCCTCACGATCGGCATGACAGTGCCTATAGATACCAAACTTACTCTCACTATCTGCAGCCATAAACGTGGGTACACGATCGGTTGGAATGATCGAGGAATGTGCCGCCGGATATGTGACAGACACGTTGCGTAATCGTTTCCCAATATCGTGCACATTTTTCATGGCCTCAGTGCATAGGTGGCACTGATCCCCCTCAAATGCCATACTGTTTGCTAGCACGAATGGGATACGTGCGTAAACCCAAAGGCTGACCGCGGTGGAGTCCGCGGATGCGGTGAGTTGTTTGCGAAAACGCCAGTCCAAGTATGGGTGGATACTGAAAAGCGAATGGAAGAAAAAGGCGTATAGATTAGTTTACAAACATTATGTTGCATGTGTTGTGGGGACAGTGGGTGCGCGTACAGCAGCCGTCATATAATGGATATATATAACTAGCTTAACTAACATCGAGGATGGAACAAGTGTTGCGTCACTTATCCTTCGTCTCAGACAGCATGCAACATAGCCTCAGAAGCTCCAAGCTGAAATGAAATAACAGCTATACCAAATCGAAATTTTCCCTTTCATATGACTGAATTCAAAGTCTGTATACAATATCAGATTGGAAAACAACCGAAAAGACATATAGGTACTGCACTCATTGCTCCCACTGACCTAATGGTAAACAATTGTCGCTTCACGTCAATGATGTATACTACGCCTAGCGATTCAGTCGCTATCACCGGTGTGGACCACATGGTGCGAGGTTCGAGAGCCGCTACTGCCAATCAACTTTAGTAGTGGGCAGCTTTGCTGTCGTCCGATTCAATACAACGCTCAACCTAACGGGGCCTTGTGTGGTTCGCCACTCTAAGTTCCCGCACTTAGGTTAACGATTTCCACCACTGAACAGCAGGTCTTCGTGAGTATAAGCATTACCCTGTCCGCTGTTCATTAAGGTTTGCAACAGAAAAGGTATATAGCATAAACAACGGCACGGTTCAACACGGTGTAAGGGAATCATATTGATCTCATTCACAACTGGTCAAAAGTGGCGTGGATTCATTTGACAAAGCCATGATGCATAAGTTGTATTTAACTCACTCATCTAACTCTTCGTGCTGGGGCTTACCTTGTTCACTCCATACTTTCGGCTCTAGATAGGAGGGATAAGACTATCAAAAAGGTGTTCTTAGACTACAAAAACGCATTCGGTATTTTTGATTGAGCGGTATTGCTCAATATTATTACCGAAAGTGGTGTTAATCCAAAAGTTGGTAGATTAATTTGCAACTGTTTCACAGATAGAAGACGTTTCACGTGTCTGAGCAGCAATAAATTTTCTACTTGTCCGGTTACCTCTGGTGTTCTGTAAAGTGCAGTATTCCTGCCAATCTTCCTTTCGATATGTATATATAACAATCTTTACAGATACAGCGCCAATAAGCCGATGATGTTCTTTTAAGGTGCGAAGCGTTCGCTCCTGCAGAGGCTTCAGAAATTCAAAAAAGGCTAAACGATGTTAGTTTGTCCCTGTCTCGTTCCCTTTTATTGAATGCCTCAAAATGTCAGGATGTTGTATTTTCTCTGTTGCCCGACGAACCGTATTTAGCCCTCACAAATCGGTTTCCTACCCGTTCTACTTAGCACAAACCCGTACCGATATCAAAAATGGTATAACATCTTGGCGGCATGCTACCACACAATTTATCATGGTCATTATCCGTTCAGGACACATTCTGTCAGGTTAGGAAGGTTTCATATTTTTCACTCCGATCAAGAATACTTTCTGCTCCCCATTAGTTGATTTTCAGGCTTGTGAATGCATGCGTATTCCTCCATTGAGTGTACTGCTCCCCCTCCCCAAGTGATTCGCTCCGGTATATGAAAAAAGACTTAATTACCGGCAAGATATCTAAATGCAGTGGTACCGCTAAAGACAGATTTGCGGGCTCTATCATGGACAGACACATACAAGCATATTAAAATTTTATTTTCAAAATACTCTCAAAAACTCATCAACTATAAAACAACGAACTTTCAAAACCTGCATCCACACGCCCAAGGTTCAAACTTTTATATTCACGTACCTCTTCATATCACAGCTCTGAAAAAGAAGAACTCTGTTGAAAAAGATGATGGCTAGTGATTTCAGTTTGGTTACAGTGATTTTGGTAAATTCGCATCCACAAATGTTGTAAAATGCTGAAAATTCGCCTACCTGGATGCATGAGGCTAGTACTGACTTGAATTGACCTAAGTTGCTTGTGAGTAGTCGAGTGCGATAATTCATACTTATTTGAACTAACCATCCTTCGGACCATAACTTCACGCACAATCCTCAGGTCACTCAGAAGCACTAGACTCAAGTTTCGTTTTGAACGGTTAGGTAAAATATACACGGTAAGGTTGCATTCTTACGGGTAAAAAATCAAGCGCTCCGAATTGGTTTGTAGAAAAAGGTTTATGTTTCACACAGGAATGGAATAGATCAATGACGTTTAGCACCCCGGAAGACATCTGATAGGATCAAAAAGAAATTGTGCATTCAAAATATCTGCAACTTTATGAAGTACCTAAAGTGTGTTATACTAACTCAAAAAATTTGTAAACCGAAAACTCGCTCACAGGTATAAAATATTACTTAATGTATAAATATTGCACATGAGATAAGATAATACCGAAGGCAAAATGTTTGCGACCAAGAGTTTCTTCGCATGCAAATATACGAATCGAGATTGAGTGCGCAATTTGACTTACGCATAGTGAAAACCAATATCATGGTTCCCAACCACATTCTTCAGTACCGTTTTCGTTCGATCATATGCGAATATCCGACGGTATCGGGTCAATTGTTTATCGAATTCCTCATCGTTAGACCACAGCCCTTCATCAAACAAGTCACCCAATATGAGTACTACATCTGGCGCATGGATGTTTATGGCTGCATGAAACGCCCGAGCCATTTCCCAATCGCTGGAATAAAACGAAACAGGCGGGAATCCGTTCAACGGAAGAATATTCGAAACAAATGTAAAGCATTGTGACTAGATTGATGAAAACTATAGCTGTCCAGGGGGTACAAGATATTGCGAGCCCACAACAGCGGAGGTGTACATTATCGGGCGCATTGCCAAGTCATGCGTAGAACGGTCACTTGGGTGATTAATCGTGCCACCGGATAAACGCTCGAAGACGCTCAGCGTCGATGTGTGCAGGGGAGGTTGGTTTGAAGCCTCAAAAGCGATCTCTGCAATAAAAGAAACCACAAAACTCCGCAAAAAGCATCACCTCGCGCATAAATCTGGCACACCGCCATCACCGTGTTGCTTTGCAGGTAGCTAAGTATAGAGGGGTATCTTTGAAGGTACTGGATAGGACACGCAGGAGCATACCACCAAGAAACTTTAACGACGATTCGATGAACCCAACGTGGTGTCACTTGATGTGACAGCGCGCAAGCGCCTACCTATCAGAACGAAGAAAAATGTAGTGAGTCAGCTGAATCATTCTGGTGCAACTCAGAGACCCGCGGGGGAGTTCATTTGGTATTTCAAGGAACCCGCAGATAATTTTATATCTGAGCGAACAACTACCAAAGGTTTTGCCAGGAGCATCTCAGGCATGATACCACCGGAAAACAAACGAAAATTTCCAAGTGAGTTAGCTTTGGAATGATCTACCGCTAAGAAGGAAAACCATCGTGAGTAAACCATGGTGATCGACAGTGCTTGTTATTAGGTAATTGAGCTTGAAAAAGAATGCTTCGTAACTTTAGATATTCCAAAGGTTGGTTTCACTCTTCGCTAGGTAGACATAGCACGCAAGAATGTCAGCAACGCCTGCCCGTAATTTTTAGGTTAGCAGTGAGTGGTCAACAATACCACGTGACGTGGTGGACAATTTTCGACTGGGATTACCAGAAGTGTATTGCAGATACCGTTAGCATGTAGGCTGATGGTGACAGATTCAATGCCTGCGAAACAGCCACGCATTATGCTGACCAGCTGTCAGAATAAATAATTACACTAGAAAAATAAAATTATAATTCTGTCTATTTTTCGAACCTACGTAACTTTTTCAGATGAACTAAATTACCAATACTCGTGTCGTATCTTAAGTTCCCATTTCACTCACAACTGCTCGTGACTCGTGGTGTGGGATTAATGTTAACGATTTCAACTAAACATCCTTGGGACTCCAGTTTCACGCACAGTCTTCAGGTCATCCAGCCAACCATACATTGTGGAAGCACTACACCCTGGCTCTCGTTAGAGCTCATCCACAGTGCATATCCAGCGTCCCTTACTAGCTTTGAAGTTCCTAAATCGGTTTGATTTGTATTTCTTCGAAATATGGTTTGTTTACTCACGGTGGTGGTGGCGCAGTGATTTAGTCGCTGTCACAGGCTTGCTTTGGTGCGAGGTTCGAGCCCCGCCACCCAACCTACAATCAAAGGTAGGCAGCATTGCTGTCGTCCGGTTCAATGACACGCCTGACCTATCGGGTCTTATGTGGTTCGCCACTCCAAGTCCGGGGCTTAGGTTGCCGGTTTCCACCACTGAGCAGCAGGTCCTCGTGACTATGGGGTTTTCCTCCTCTGCTGTTCATCACACTTAAGTGTGCAATAAATAAACAGTAGTCGATCAACGGGTTTTCAACAAAAAGCCCTATCGTTTTGTGTTCTGCCGTTTTGTGTATAGATGCGTTTGTCACCAGATGAGAAATTCCATTAAAATAGTCCGTTGCAATGGAATGGAGCATTATTTGCCTCGAAGTTTATTAAGTGGGTTAGAACAATCTCGTTAAGGCGCCGTAAGCAATGTAAGGGTAACTCAACGCTTTAAATTTAAAAGGTCAAAATGTCTAGTACGCGGTTACCCCTTTGAGCTGATGGTATCCTAAAGAGATTTCAATTTCTACGATACCGTAGGACTGACTACGTTAGGCTGTTTTTTAAATTCCGCTTTAAATTAACAGTATATTATTAGAAAAAATCGGGAAAGCAACAAAAATGAGGAAGGTTTCATCGTTCGTTTATTTTTGTCAAAACTATCCCACGTGATGTTGCCCCCGCTTAAAAGCACGAACTGCTGACCTACATATGTTGTAATACCTTAAATTCATTTGATTTTTGGAATTCACGAGGAATGTAACATAGCAGGAGATGGACTGTATAAAATAAGATTTGAAAGCTAATTGACAGGAGCATGCAGCAGCGATTTGAGGGTGCAAAACGAATACCAAGGTTAGCTACATTCGCAATCTCATTGATAAGAGAGGCTTGAAGCATAATTGAACTGGTAAAACTCGAGGGAAATGTTAATGCTGGTTCAAAAACAGCTGTGAAATCATCGCATTGTTCAAAATAAGAGCTTGGCTATGATTCGGAACAAAAAGAAGCTTCATGAACCGAAGTTTGTGTTGGTAAAGACAACTATATCAAACAATCTATTGCACTTACCGGCGAATGCGATCAAATGGATGCCCCCTGTACACGCCCACCAAATGAGGATCGGCCAGCACCATAACCTTCAACTTTGTCCGCCCAGCTTCGTGATCATTTAAAGTAGGCCAAAAACACTGAATTATTAAGATGTAGTAGATAAAAAATTCACAAAATAGGATAAGGAAAACGAATGACAGAGCCACAGTTATCATTCGCCGAGTATAACGTTTAGGACGGCTTCGAAACATCTGAATCTGAAAACAAAACGAACAGTTATTGAGGTGATGGGAAAATAGACTTGATTGTTATAACAGCAAAAACCTGATGTGTGTAACTCGACTAATTGTTTGCTCCTGGTTGAAACCAAACGAGAACATGGAATAACTTAGCTTTTCATTTCCGGCCTTATTTCCTCTTTACGTGACGAAATTCACCATCTGAAAAAACAAATCCTCCATTTCTTTCATGAAAAGAATAAGCTAACAAAAATACCACAAGCGGAGAAACAGGTCTTATGTGGTTTGCCACCGCAAGTAGCAGGGTTGGATTGTCCGTCTTCTGTCACACCACAAATGAACTCACATGAATCATAGAAGGCGCATTCTATTTATGAACTCATACCACTCTATAGCCCTCATTAACATTCGTGGTTTAAAACGAAATGTTATCACTGTACACTCCTTTCTCCAATCTTCTTCCCCTCAGTTTTATTTCTGACCGAGACTAATCTCTCCCTCGTCAGATACTACTCATCTTCAGTTCCATAATTACTTCCTCTATTCTGTTTCAAGGCTGGTGTCTGAGTCTGTTCTTCACTCTGTTGCCTCTTCTCGACTTCCAAACCTCGATTTCTCCAACCGTAAATTCCAGCTTATTTGGCTCGGGTTCCTTCTTTCTACCACTATTTGGTACCGTTTACCTCTCCCCGATCAGCAGTGATCCTTTCATCTCGGGTACTCTATCCTCCAACAATGAGTCACTGAACGTAACATTTTTTCACATAGGTCTGAGTTCAAGCTCTGTGCCGAGCAAAGGAAAGCATAATGATCTGCAAAAAAGAAGAAAAGGCTCCATGACTTTTTTGTAGGCGGAATACTGCCAGGTTCCCCACGCCAAGGCAGATAAATTTTCTTGGGGAATCTAAAACCGAAGCCTTTGGCTAGCCAAAATCTAACCCGCTAGGCAGCGGGACGGTGTGTGAAAACCGCAATCCATTGGGGATCCAGTGTCCGGTTCGTCGGATCATTCACCCTTCGGACCGAGTTAAACGTCCAAAGTGCCCAATACACTTCCATGCTCAATCGAGCTGGTGACCACTGCCATGACCAGACAGGTGGGGGTGGTTCGTACGCTTCTTCTTGGTTGGTTTGGAATCAGGATTTTTAGCCAACTCCCCTAGGTAAACTGCCAGTGATTCACCTGCTTGGTTATAGCCCCGGATGTCGGCTTTTCATCCTCTCACTTTGGTGGGAAAATATCTTCACCATAAGAAGGCAGTGAGTAGGACTTCCTCGGCAGAGGCTATTTGTAACGATTGGCTGTATAGGCCACTTCACAAGCACTGATGATGTCAACTCGGCTGGTGATGAAACGTTTGCAAAAAAATTGTCAAGCTCGGTGAACAGGTGAAATGGAAGTATAGGAGCATGTCGTGAGGTGCAAAGGAAGGGCGACCAATCACAATTCAAGACATCCTCCCCCGACAATATTGAGGCTTTTGGAGGCGGGACCTGC